GAATGTATCATCTTTCTCACGAACCGATTTCCTGGAGTCTTTGAGGTCCGCTAGAGACTCATTAGGACAACAGAAGGATTGCTCCGAATTCTTGGGGTTCTTGTTGAATACTCTTTGTGTTTACTTTTTAGTAAATGTTCAAGAGGTAGCAAAAACGTATGTGACTTTCTGGAACTTCAACTATTGTTTGCTAATACGACTGATAATAAATTCAGCTATGTATTATAATACAGGACCGTTAAAAAAAAAGTTGATGATGAAATCTAATGAACGAAACGTCGCACTGCAAATTGGTTTATATCATATTATAACATTAATGAAAGTTTCTTCGCCTTTTTTTATATCATTTCTCGATCCGAAAAAAGATTATTTCAGTTTCCCAAAATACCCAGTTTTCCCGCCCTAGTAGGTCTTACCGTTTCCGATATAGTAATAGTGAAATCTGTTAAAAAACGACCTGTATAAGCAATATCCATGAATTTTATCAGAGCTATTAGTATATGTATATCATTGAGCTGACGATATGCAATTATACCTGTCTTTCCGTTTCAGTGACATTACAACTGCTGAACGTGAATCTCCAGACCATGTTGAATATTTCAAGTGATTTACTGCAAGCTGATGAGTAATATTTCCAAAGAATACAAAATATTTGCATCAGATTCGCGTACGGCATCCGCAAATATGATCACATTAATCAATCTTTCAAAGACTATGGCTAGTTGCCCATGAAGCAATTATGAGAAAACATCTCACTTTTCGGCTTATACGGCTTATTCGCTTGAATAAATATATTTCTTTCCACCATTCTATTTTAACTATATAATAATTTCATTATTCCAGAGTTGATCATCAATATTATTCATCACGTAATATATAGCATTTCAAGAAATCACGAGGTTGGGTTTGAAAACAGATGAACTCCTCGAAAGTCGAAACTTGTAGGAGCTAAAGATTGAAGAGGTCTTACCATCTTTAATCGTTGCATCCAGTACATTTTCGAAACACGATATGCAAACTTGAAGGAATGCATTCGAGAAAGGGAAGTACAAAAAACTAAGAGACCAAGGCCGTAGCCAGGGGGGAAATCAAGGGGATTGATTCCCTCCTCGAAAGTTCTACAAGCAACGGCCATCCAAAAATTATATCAAATACAACGACTGGCTTGTTCAAACATCACAGGAGGTTGCGTTAATGACCATGTTACGATTGCGCACGACTGGTGTAAACCGCGAAGAAGGAATGGGTCAATTGAGGCTGAGCCTATGGCGAGAAGCTCACTGCGCAACCTCTGCTGCATGCAACCAGTGATGCAACTGAACCCAGGTTTGTATTTAATAAACCCTACAAAATACAAATAAAATAGAACACAGAGTCAGATGCTACAAATGCAATACGCATATATACAGACGGCTCAAAAACCAAAGAAGGCTCAGGATGTGGGGTGNAATAAACTATAAAAAGCGGTAAATTTTGATGTAATCCAAAAGTAAACATAGAGATCACCTTTGAAATCCTTAATGAATTATCAGTTTTTATTTCTGCATACTTCCAACAAGCCCCTGTACACAAAATTCCGCGTTTAATATAAACGGAACATCAGTTTCTTTCGTTTGACCTTCTACTCTTACATAAAATCACTCAACCAACATCGTGACAACTATCAATTACAAAGGAATATCATTTTATTTTTGAAACAATTATGCGGCTCATAATTATATATAAAAATTCAGATGAATACTATTAAAATAATTTCCAGGGACGGATGAGCCAACGGTTTGTAAAAAATTATAGAATCAGCAGACGACTTACTTCTCATCTTCATTAGAGTACCAACATTATGGGAACAACTTCATAGTGACACCTGCAAAACAATATTTCAGCATCAACTTTCTTTAGTTAAGTTATATTTGTACATGACGAGTGGGTCGGAATCAATTTTCTAATATATCCAGAATATTTTTCCACTAGCCCCTTCTCTATTCTTGAATTCTTGTTCACTCATTCCATACACTCTTGTTGATCGCAGTACAAAATGATATCTGCTTGGATAGTCGTTTGCTTCAGGTTTCTGTTCCTGCCTTTTAATCTTTTTGTCTGTTCTGAATAACTAGTTTTGAGAAGGAAAGGTTTTGGTTTCCTACTTCTCCATCTTGACACAAAAAATGTGGAAATCTTCCACAAATTAATCTCTCCTAAAGATATACCCTTTCAATTTAGTTTCTTTTCCCATTACTTATTGCAGAACACATTACTCAGTGATGTTGGTTGTTTCAAAAGTTGACCAGTGTCGGCTGCTGCGGACTCTATTGTGATGGTTTGGCCCGGTTGCAGAAAGTTAGAGCCGCTGACCACTGTACAGTAACCATGGTATTTTTTGGGTTTTCGCCTTGAGTGCCTGGGTGGTTCATTGGTGTCCAACCACTGTCCTGAACACTAACACTATCATTGACAAATGCCTGGTATATTTTACGAGGTGTTTCGGCAGCGCTTTGGTTCAACCTGAATTCGTAGAGAAAAATTGCTTAACGACATGATGTAGATAAGCTGAAAGAAGGCAAAACGTTAAAATTTGGAAAAAATGAACAGCAAAATATAAAATTCTCTATCCATCAGTATTGTAATAACTGCCATTGCGATAGTTAACAAAAAATATTATTTTATTATTAGAGATCGAGGTAGATCACCCGTCGATATTTTGCCAGTTGAAAAAGCGGAGAACTACTTCATGACTGTCGGACTTTTGAGCGTTATTGTGATCAGATACTAGTTGGGCTAAACTAAACAAATGAAAATATTACATCCTGCCGATGATAATACGCTTGGGAAGGTTAAAAACGCTGAGATGTTTTTGTGGCTAGCATTGCTGGCGCGAGGGCTTGAGAGTTTTTTGGGCGAGACACGAAAAGTCGGTCACGGGAGCCCGTCGAGACGAGATCGGGGGTCGCATACCTCAGCCTTCGAAGCTGAGGTAGGTGACCTAAATAGGGAGGTTATTTTGTCTGAGCGCGTGGTGCAAAATTTAAGGAAAACCGGTAGTGAAATGGTAAACCGGTAATGGATACAGGGAAGTTGCAAGTGTTGGTGTTGAAGACACACCGGGTCAACGGAACCTATGGTTGACCATGAACCATTAAAGAGGTGTTATTTGAGTGTTTGTTTTGTTTTACTAACCAGTTGATATTGAGAGAGAGTTCACATATTATTTTGTCTGAGTTCACTTCCTACTAGTGGAGAGATTATATATTGAAGGGTTCCTAGTGCTGATTGTTAAGCTGGAGTTCATATTACAATTACGAAAAAGGACGCAAATTTAAGGTTATACACCACTCTCCCTAGATTAAAAAAGAAGCTGAAAGTATTTTGTACTGAGTTTGAGATGTTGAATTGATAGTAAATAGCACAGTCAAATTGTCTGTATTTTCTTTGTTCTATTTTCTTTTATTTTATAGAATTTCACTTTTTTTCTATAAGATTTTACACGTTGTTTTTTTTTTGTATGTCCATGGAATTGTTGTTTTATTCATTATACTTATATTTAAAACCTCGAAATTTTATTTTCACTTGGACTGAGAAAAATAGCATCCCCGTAGAGTAAGATGAAGTTGAAAAAGGAACAAAAGATGAGAGATCTCTTAGTTGATTTATCGAGAAGAAAATACT